CCCGCGGGCGCGGAGAACCCCTGTACGCAGCCCGCCGGGAGCTTCTCGCAGCCCTTGGATCCGAGCTTGCAGCCGGGCGGCTTCCCGGGCTGACCCGGGGAAAGGGCGGGGGGGGGGGCAGGCCAGGCGCCCCCTCCTCCTGGCTCCCGCGCTCTCCTCCTCCGGGCCGTCTGCTGGGGGGTGTCTCCCGGGGCGGCGGGGAAGGCGGGGTGAGTGGGGAGAAAACTGTCCCACAGACCAGGAGCCGAGGGACTGAGGGAGGATGACAGGTCGTCCCCCTGCCCCTCCCGCCACCTCCCCGGCGGGGAGGAAGCCGGGCTCCCGCAGGACCCGGAGGAGCGCGTGGAGGAAGGCTCCGGGCTTCCTCCCAACGGAGAGGCTTCCCTCGGGGCTGCTGCTTGGGTGTCTGGGTGAGGAGAGGGCTTTGGGGGTGGCCCGGGTCCTCTTCGGACTCCCCGATCTCCTGCACCGGGTTACATAAGGAGGTAAGCTGGCTTCTCTAGGTAAACCAGCCCAGTTGAGAAGCCCCCCTTCTGTCTGTCTCGTCCAGGGTGGCTGGGCCTTCCTTCTGGCCCCCTGAGCCCCGGGGTCACAGCCAGGTTTTGCATGGATCCTGAAGGAGCTCGGAAGCACTGAAGGCCTTGGCTCTTTTGCTGGGATGGAAGGGCCATCCGTGGGGACATAGATGGAGGGGCTGGTGCAAAGGGGTCTGAGCTGACCAGATGCAGGATTGCTCAACCTTGCCCAGCGTGTTACCCTCCCCACAGGAATCCCAGGCACCGACCCGTGTGCAGGGCAGATGCTCAGGTCTGGGTCTTAAAAGGGTTTGCACTGGGTGGGTGCATATATTCGGTATTAAATCTTGGTCCATTCTCCCCAGGGTTTTATGTTGAGATGCATGAGAAACTGGAAGTCTGAACCTTGTGTGGGTACCTGTTTGTCCTTTAAGGCCTGCTGGGAACTGTGCTTACTCTTCCCTCGCGCCCCCCCCCCCAATCTCTCTTCCCTGAAGGGGTTTAAAAACCACCTCCCTCCCAAAAGCTCTTACTGTCTTTCCAGCAAATCTGGCCACAGCTTGCACAGAAGGCTTATCTTTGCAGGTTTCTAGGGGAGAGTTTAAGCAGGTATCAGGTGTGAGTGTGGTTCGGATTTTTTTTATTAGGGAAGTTCCAGGGAAGAGAAGCAAAACCTATTCTCATGAATTTGTTTCACTTAAAGCAGGGAGAACAGATTTGTCAAAGACTCTTCTGTTCCCCCTGCACTTTGGCTGTGATTCAGAGGAGCAGGCAGCCTAGAGTCTTCCTGAAGAGCTGGGTGCTGTGCGATTTAAAGGACAACAGGAAGGCCGGGGTATGGAAGCCTCTGGTTTTATCTAGTTTGGTTGCAGCCACCTTTAAAGAAACATGTCTATAGTGGTGGCTCTGTTCTCTGGGAAAGTCTCATCTACTGCCAGCTTTTGCAGCCACCAGGGCACATGCCTCCTGTCTCTCTGGGTCTTTTGTGTTTCCCACCTGTTGGCAGATAAGTGGGTACCTTTGTCAACTTGCAGAATTCTCCACAGGGCTAGGCTCTCTGGGCCTTGTCGTGGGGTTACTTGGGTTATAATTCTCTTTGTATTTCTCTTCTCTCCCTCCTAACCTTCCTCCTTGCCTCCCTTCCACACACTCTCATCTCTGTTTCAGGCTCCACATTGGAAAGGAAAGGCCCAACACAGATTCTAGTCTGGTCTCCTCTGTATGCATTCAGCCTCAGCTCTGCCTGAACCACCAGCCTAGGCTGAGGGCAAGCTACATTCTTTTCTGCTACAGGATGCAGTGTGCTTCTCCCCCCCCCCCAATGTGAATGAATTATGTTTGAAACCAAAATGGGAGGAAGAGAAAAATAGAGTGAGTGTGCATGGGTATGTGTGTGCAAATCCCTCTATAGGCAGGAGGAGAGCAGCAGGCACATTATTTTTCCATTTTCCTTTAATTAAGGCTCTGTGGAGGTGTGTTTGAAAACAGAGGGTCTCCTATGCCTTTGAGGAGGGTGAGAACACTGTTTTGGCTTCGTCCCGGGCCATATGCAGCGTATGGTGGCCAATGAAACTGGGCCTGGCTCATTCTGTTGCTTGTCTTGGCAGTCAGTTCCATGGCTTGTGTTACCAGCTCTGGAACTCCAGAGCTGCCAAGCTCCGTGTGCCTGTGTGTGTGCATATGTGTGAGTGCATGTTGTGTGTGTGGGGGGGAGAATTTGGCCTCTACAAACTCAGCAGAGACAAATGTCTTAGTGACCCAGGCTTGGAATTTTCAGTCTGTTTCCTTGCACTTACTGCTGGCTGTGGGAGGCCCAGCCAGAGCCCACCGGTTTGCATTCTGTTAAGTCTGTTTTTGTGTCACAGCCCATGGGATTCGGTAGCAGAGCTCCATTTCCAAAGCTTTAGCTGGACAGTAGTGTTTTTAAAAAGGACCCATGCAGCCACCATACAGCCTGAGTGCTGTGTATCCCCAAGGGGCAGGGCTGAGGTGAGGTGGGAAGAGAGGAGAAAAAGCTTGTCCAATAGCAATGCCTTTCCTTGATGTGATTCCTGGCAGGAATATCATTTATTGAGCACCTACATTAGGTGGAGCACAAGTCTGTGCTTGCAGGCAGGGTTCTATGGGAAGCTTTTTTTTTTTTTTTCCTCATTTTCAGAAAAGAGCCGGAATCTACTGGGGGACAGTTCCAGGTTCTTATATGACCCGGCGAGTTATGCAGAGATCATACCTGCCAGTATGCTGTGGCTTCTCCTGATCCTGCCACCTGCCCCTCATCTTTTTATGAAGGCCCTAAGAGTAACCCTATGTCAAGCAGTACAGGGAGGCTGCAGATTGAAGGACACTGGCCCTCTTAGTCTGATGGCCATGTGTTGTCAATGAGATATGTTCTGCATTTTGGCCTGCAAGGTGCCAGGAACCTTAGGAGAAACTGAGGCAAAGTGCAGATGACAAGCCAAGCCATGCATCCTTGTTGCCTTTGTACCCAGATCTGACCCAGTAATCATTGTTTTTATTCTGCAGTTAACTGGCAGGATGCAAGATGGCTCTGTCTTCTTGGGGTTTTGAGCTGCCAAGTGGGAGAGCAGGGAATCAATCCTCTGGGGAGGTACATCTTCATGGCTGTAGGAAGGGAAACCATTGTTAGGTAGAAGCATCCAGGAGGGATCTCAAGGGGTCATCTGACATTCATGTCTCTACAGGAAGGAAGGCCCACCGTGTTATTCCTTTCCCACTCACCACGTGCAGGCTTTGTTCCAGGTGCTTTCCAAGAATTAACAAAGTTAACCCTCCTGGCAAGACTTGCAGGGCAAATAACATTATCACTCTACACTGAAGGAAGGTGAGGCACCGAGAGGTTAGGGAACTTGCCCAGGGTCACATAGCCTCGTGCTTGCTGGGCAGGTGCTTTTCCACTTGTGTCAAACCCCAGTGCTGCCTGATCATATTTTTAGCTAGTTCTGTTCCTCCTGTATCTCTTAGTGTTTTGGATGCTGGCTGACCTGTACCATTCAGGTCTTAAAAGAGAGATCATCACATCTGACTCCTTGACTACAAGAAGGGGCTTTTAGTGTTTAAGTGTTTGGGCTTCATGGCAGTTGGTCCTGAGACCTTTCTGCAACTCTCTGTAGACTACTGTCTTCTGCATCCTTGTCTTTCCTAGGAGTCTTCCAGGAGTCAGCTCCCAAGACTCATGCTCCCAAGACTCGTGCCCCTCCCCCTCCTGTCTTTCGCTGATTCTGTTGCCAACTCCCTGCTTTTGACTTCCAGTCCCACTCTTGTCTCTGTAAACCTGCTCACTTGTGACCTGTTGTCACTGCCTCTACTTTCTCTTAGGACCAAAATTTGAGCCTGGGGTTGAGTGCACACATGTTCCCACCATTTCTTGTTGCCAGTACAGGCCGGTTGCTTGCCTGGAAAGTTGCTGACTTAGAGATGTCATGGACTCTCTCTTATCTGTGGACAGAACATTATGATACAAGTCCTCAGTTTCTCTTAGTCATTTTTCTTTGTATTGGTAACAGAGCTTGAACTCAGGGCCTCGGCCTCTCACTTAGATTTTTTTGTTCATATCTGGCATTCTACCGCTTCAGTTCCAGGTTTTTCCTGGTTAAAGAGTCTCTCATATTTGTCTGCCTGGGCTAGCTCTGAACATCTCAGCCTCTTGAGTAGCTAGGATTATAGGTACAATCAATCAGTACCTGGCCTTTTGTGTGGCTTGAAATCAGGGCCTGGGCACTGTCTCTGAGCTCTTTTTTGCTCAACACTAGTGCTCTACTACTTTGAGCCACAGCACCACTTCTGGTTTTCTGGTGGTTAATTGAAGATAAGGGTCTCACTGACTTTGCTGACCAGGCTGGCTTTGAACCAGGATCCTCAATCTCAGCCTCCTGAGTAGCTGGGATTGCAAATGTGAGCCAACAGTGGCTAGCTTGGCATTTTTTAATAACCTTTTTCTTTTGTTATTGTAAATTAAATTGCTGATTATTGTGCATGTGTCACCCACCAAAACAAGGCTGTTAGTTATAGATATTCCCATTAAAACAAAGACTTAACATATTTTATAGCTTCATATACAATGAACAAGAAAAACAGGGAAAAAGCTGAATGCAAACGTTACCTCTACCTTTTTTTCTTTTAGTCGAAATGACTTTTCCTGTTAATATCTGTCAGTAGATATTTCTGGGCTAGAAACGCTTTGTGCCTTTTTCTTCTGTATGAACAATGCAGCGCCCAACTGTGTCCCTACAAATCCCCAAGGAAGTCAGTAGAGAGACAGAAATACCAGATCTTTTCGTCAAGTTCTTTCCCCTTGGCTCCATCTGGCCTATTTTCTTCAGGCTGGTTTTCAGGGCACTGCCTCCAATCACTTATAATCTTAGGCTCAACATCAGCTTAGTCTCCTGTGACCTTCAGAGCCCTTAGTTCCATCTTCATGCCAGGCTTGTCAGTGCTCATCCAGGATTGTGCATTCCCTGGCTTTTTTTCATTGACAACCTTCCTTATTCTTGGTCAGTGTCTCAGGTTGCCAAAGTTGTGTTAGATTCTAGGCCTGTATTTTAAGGAACAGGCCTCCCCCACCTCCAATTTTGACATTTTGCCCATGTTCTGAGCTTGCTCTGTATGTATCTCTGTTTTTCATGGAGACGTGCAGGGTGTCTTGTGCCTTTCAGACTGCCTGGGCCTTGAAGAGGGTAAAATCATAGCAAACAAACCAGGTTCATCTCCTAAAGCGTTTGCCTGTATACTTCTCTTTTCCCCACAAAATTGTTTCCGTGTGGAACAACCAGTCTGGGGGATGATTTCACCTCTTGTCATCTTTCCCGTGTCTTCCTTCAAGTGGCTAAGTTCCTCCTGGCCGCTGTTGGTTCCTTGCCATCCCACCTCACTCCACCCTGTATAGATCTCTGAATCACATCAAATTGTTTCATTTTTCAATTCACCAAAGTTGCCTTTGCCTTAGATTGCCAGCCAGCTCTTTGCAATTAATGAAGAGCCAATTAGAAAGGCTGCCCACCAGCTCCCTACCTTCTCCCCTCCCCCAGGGACAGCTGGGATGACTTCTAGCTGGTGAATGTTAGTGCTGGGGCTGTCTCTCTTAGGAATGGCATGTGTTAAGGACTTTGTGGTTTGTATCTGAGCGGTTAGGGGCCCCCTTGGGGGGGGGGAGGAAAGCCTGGTACTCCTGGTTGGGGCTTGTCTTTGAGCTGGAGCAGGAATGGCAAGCATTTATAGGACCACTACTCCTAGTCAGTGGCTACTTCCAAGGAATGGGGGGGAGGGGTCCCAGGAGCAGAAAATTCATTTTAGTTTGGGAGCATTTGTTAGTTCCTCATTTATACCATCTGTAGGAAAATAAACAGAAGCTGCAAACAGAGCCTATCATTCCTGGAACACAGCAGAGTCTGGCTTCCATCTCTCAGAACCGCCCCCCCCCTTGGGTTGGCTTAAGCCAGAAAACATATAGAAGCCTTGAAACGTTTCTCTTGGGGGCTTCTTCTGTGGGAATGAAAAACCTGGAGGTAAAACTATGGCCCATTAATGAGCCCCTAAATTTCCAAAGACAGGAGATCTTTACCCACTCACTGCATTTTGCTTTGTCATGACTTTATCATTCATTCAACAAACATGTCTTCATTATTCTTCCAGAAATGACACTAGGCACTGGGGTCACATGAGAGATCACTGAGCATCACTGCCATCTGACATCACCCTCCACTTACTGAGTGGTAGTATGGCTGGGCCCAGGCTCAGCTTTGCTGCCTGAGTATACAGTCTGCCACCAGCCCCTGTCCTGTTCTCCCAGGAGGAGGCTAAGGAGACAGACAGCTTGCTTAGGGCACTCTGTATTGGCAGCCTAGTGTGACAGCCATAACCCCTTTCTTCATTGTAGGCCCTGATATCCCTCACCCCAGAGGAAGATCTGGTATTGTGGCACCCACATATGTCTGGCTCCCCCCCAGGCTACTGTGGGGTTATTCAGGTTCTTTGTTTCTAAAGCTGATCTCCATGGGAGGTAGGTAGAGCCATGGTTCCTGCCTGAAAGTTGGTCACTGGAAGGTTCTGCCTTTTTCTGAAGCTATCAACAATGGAAATAATAATAATAATAATGGTAGTATCCTAAAGTCCAGGGAGTAGGAATCTAGCTTTGGTCTGCCCTTGTCTAGCTGTGTGACCTTTGGCAAGTCACTGAACCTCCCTGAGCTTGTTTCCTCACATGCAAAATGAGGATGTGGTTTAGATGAGCAAATGAATGATGCCCTTCGCGCCCCCCCTCCCCAGCTCTGAGACTATCAGTTGCTGTGAATGAGTCTCAGGTCCTTTTCTGAGGTAGCCGAGGGGAGGGAAGGAAGTGGCAGGGATAGATGAGGGGTGGGAAGGAGAGGCTGAGGGGACCAGAGCAGGTGGAGCATAGATGAAGAAGCCCAGGACATCAGCTACCAACAGGGTGCAGAAGATGGTGTAGGTGGTTTGATGGCTAGAGGCCACACCAGTACTGAGGAGGAAATGGCAGGTTCGCTGTCCGGATGCACCTTTCTTTAAACAAAGTGGTGCCCAGTGGAAGTCTTTGTGGTTTGAGGGTGCAAATCACTCACGTTTTTCTCCTCAGTGTATAACCTATTAAGTAGTAGTCTTAAGACTTGGTTAGGGAACCAGTTTTCACCCCTGAAAGTGAAATATGAAGAATGCGGTTTGTGCTGGTGGCCAAACTGGGCTCACTGATTAGACCATTCTCTTGAATGCTCAATCTGAGAGCTCAAATGAGGACGGGTGGCTGTGGATCACCCACCAGGGCCACTTCCCTATGAGGACAGCCCCAAACAGCACGGGTATATGAGTGCATGAACTCTGCCCACCAGAAAAGAGTGGTTCTGTGGACTTCACATCACCCCTGTCCTGCCACATTAATCCTCCACAAAAAGTGACAGGTAAAGAGGGAAGAATAGGCCAAAGCTTTCTTCTGGAGATTTCTGAGACTGAGGAGGTCTTGGTTTTATGGTGGCATATAGACAGGTGGAAAGAGAGAGGGTGAATTTCTTTTCCAGGACTGGAACACATGAGCAGTTTTGTGCTCATTTGGAATTCTCCCTACAAGGACACCTCAAAGCTGTCTATCTCTGATCTCTACATTCCCAGTACCTACTGGCTCAAAGTAGTTGATCAACAATTGGATAGATGGATGATGGGTGGGTGGCTAAGCAGATAGATAGATGGAGGTGTGAATGGGTGGTAGGAGGATGGATGAGTAGATGGGTAGGTAAATGGGTACGTGGGTAGATGGATGGACAGGTAGATACGTGGATGAATGAGTAGGAACTCTTTGAAGGACTAGATGTGTCTACCTATTGGCAGATAAGCTTCTTCCCTGCCATCTGTGCCTTGAAATGGCCATCTCTTATGAACTTCCCCCAGTAAAGGGAAGAAACAAGGATTGTGTTGGTTGACCCATCTCCTGTATGTCCCTTCATACTATACTTTCTGCCTTCCTTTGTAAACTTCTTGGGTCTAGCAGAGTTAGAGACTAGAGGAATTTTCTGGTACTGGGTCCCACTGGGAAAGCATATGATAATTAATTACATCTCCTTTGTCTTCATCACTTCCTCATAGACAGCAGATACACACACACACACACACACACACACACACATTCACTCACCTCTTAACGTAGGTGTGCTTTATCTTGTACTCAGGGCAGTTTCACAAGTATGCCAAATAAGATGTGTGATCTGTGGGGAGTCACCATGGCAGACTAAAAATAGCTCCCTCTTAAACAGGTGCTAAGGTGCCTGAGATTCTGCCCTTACATTCAATGCCTTTAGAGGTAGTTCATTGTCATTACAATCCAGACCATCAGTTTTCACTGTGTGAAATGATCATTGTAAGCCGTGCCTTCTCTCTCTGTGCCAGGGGCTCTGGCCCTGTCTGATGGGGGCAAATGGATTGCCCTGGGGCCTGGCACAGAGCCAGTGCTGAATAAATGTCACCAATAATTGGACTGAGAATTACATTTTTTAAAAAGGATAGGTCAGGGATGTAATTCAGTGTTGGAGTACTTCTAGCATGTGTGAGGCCCTGAGTTTGATCCCCAGCACTACCAAAAAAGGGTAGGGAAAATCCTCCTACCATACTAGAGATGGGTACCATTGATGTGAGTTCACAGAATGGGCTTTTCTCTATCCCTGGAAGGGTGCATGAGCAGGAAGAGCATTTGGGAGGGGAAAGGACCCCGGGAACATTGGTGAGAGGAGGGAACGGTCCCAGCCAGTTCTTGCTGACCTCTATTCTGCCTTTTCCCACCCACTCCAGGCCAGCCTACCACTCCTCCTGCTATGATGCCTGGGCAGATTCCAGACCCTTCTGTGACTGCGGGCTCTCTGCCAGGGCTTGGCCCCCTCACCGGACTCCCCAGCCCAGCTTTGACTGCAGAGGAACTGAAATACGCCGACATCCGCAACATTGGGGCCATGATTGCGCCCTTGCACTTCCTGGAGGTGAAACTGGGCAAGAGGCCCCAACCCATGAAAAGTGAGGTGAGTGAGCCATTACCTCAAGCACCACCTGAGGGTCAGAATGCCTGGCTTCATTCAGGTCCTTAATCTGGCCTGAGACAGAGGCTTGGCCTTGTTGACCTAAGTGTGGTCTGAGGACCTGCAGCATAACTGGGGAATCTTGGGTCTCCCCATGCGTGACCTGCAAGTCAGACTGTGTCTTAACAAGCTCCCTAGGGATGCTTGGAAAAGCATGGGGCCAGGGTAGGGAGCTGAACCTGTCTGTGCTTCTTGGGATCATAATGACAATGCAGAGTAGTGTCTGGGTGGTTTCTTGGGAGTGTTGGGAAATCAGCAGAGATAGTGGAAATGTGCATGTTTTGAAAAATGAAGAAAGGGATGACAATTATCAAGTTATCATTGAAAGTTATTGTCATTAGTCACATATCATTGCCTCCACCCCAGTTGGCCCCAGCCTGGTGCTGATGGAGGGAACTTGGACAAAGGCTGATGTCGCCTCCCTTACCCAAGCAGCTTCCAGAGCTGAGCATCATCTGCCTGAGAAGGGGTTTGCAGAGGACCAACCCTCAGAGCATCTCCTTCCTCAGGTCCCTGCACCTGCTGTCTCAGGAGCCTTTTGTGTACAAGGGTAGCTTTTCCCTGGGGACTGGTAAAATGCAGAAGTCTCAGCATAGCTGAGCATGAGTGTAATGCAAGCCCCAGACACTTAATCTAGGCTGGTGATTCGTGCAAAAGCCTGGCTCAGTAAGGGCCATTTCTTCGGAGATCTGATGTTCGCTACATTACTACAGAGTCAATAGTGGGAGGTGGAAAAGAAGCTGGGCAGTGGTGAATAGCAGCCACCTAAACGGCTTTGTCTGTAGAAATGCTTATAGGCAAAGGTAACCTCCTACAGAGGTTTGACACTACTCCCCCCTCACCCCCCCCTGCCCCGCCCGCTAGAGTGGAGTTGAAGGTCAGGAAGAGGCTCCCAGATGGAGAGAGGCATCTAGGTAGGGACTATCTGTGCCATGCAACTTTGGCTCAGTTTCTTCTTTCCCCATGAGGATGAGTTTTTAAAAAATATAGTAAAACTGCAAGGAGAGCTTCTGGAGCTTGGCCATGGATGGCAAAGTGTCCATTTGCAGGCTAGATTAGGTTCTCAAATGTGTTTGATTTGGCTTTCTTGGTGTTTTGTTTTGTTTTGTTTTGGTTGGTCATGGGGTCTTAACTCTGGGCCTGGGTGCTGTCCCTCAGCCATTCAGCTTAAGGCTAGTGTGCTCTAACACTTGAGCCTCAGCACTACTCTGGTTTTCTGGTGGTTGATTGGAGATAAACGGACTTTCCTGTCTGAGCTAGTTATGAACTGTGATCCTCAGATCTCAACCTCCTGAGTAGCTAGGATTACAGGCATGAGCCACTGGTGCCTGCCTTTTCTCAGTGTTTTTAAAGCAGCTTGAACCAACATTTCACTTCTTAAAAATGCAGTTAAAAATAGGGGTCTAGAGGCATGGCTCAAGTGGTAGAGCAAGCATGAAGTTAAACAAGCAAACAAAGGTGGGGGAGATCCAGTCATATACATACTGTCGCAGACAGGGCAAAGGCTAGGCAGTTTGCCATAGGCCCCCACAACTCCCTGTTGGCTTGGTCCTGTTTATACTATTGGTTTTGCCTTTGTCACTTCCAGCTGCTTTTGTTTACCTCCACTGCCTGGTCCTTCCTGTGGCTCTTTGGGCTCAAGACACCTGATTAAGGACATCTTATTTGCTGCTATTTGCAAGATGAGAGTTGACTGTGATTATGTTCTTCTGAGTTAACTTTGTCAGTGGCCTTTGTGCTGTTTTGAAAGTTCTGACTTTCTGCTAAGTTACCTTTGTAGGCCCCTAACTTGACAGCATCTGTTTCTAGGTTGTTCTATAGCAGAGTTGTTCATTGAGAGCCTCAGCAGTCTTCAGTGTTGTTGGGCTCCGAGGCCCTGAGCAGGTTGATGAGGTGGTGTGATTTGCCTGTACAGCTAAGTTTCTGCCTCTCCTTCTTCTTCAAAAGGCCCTGGGAGGAGCTTCCTTTTTTTGTGGGGGGAGGAGAAGGAAGGCCTTTATTTGGGTTGGGTATTTTTATATTTCACAGCCACCCCCTAAACTGCTGGAATATGCCCTTGTACCTGATAGTGACGCTGTGTCCTCACAGGCACCCACCGACATGTGCCATCTAGGCTGTGAAAATAACAAGCTGTTTTTAGGGCCTATTTTGCATGTCCTCGCACACTGAGCACTGTGGGGGTGAGAAGGCAGATGGAGCAGAGATGGAGACTGTGCCTTGCAAGCGAAGGCCAGCCCTGCCCCGAGGACCCACCTTCTAAAATGCTCTCTGGGTCACAGCCGAAGAGTAGGGCCAACTCATCCTTGGAGCATCTAAAGCTCAAAGTAGGTGGGGAAAGAACTTTGCAGCTGGCGCGGCTATGTTCCAAAGGGCCATTGGCATATGGCAAACTGTCTTTGCTGAGTTTCCTTCCATATTGGCATTTTTAGAGTACAAGTTTCTTGAATAATAATAATGATAAGGTGTCCAGCTCACATGGATTAAACATTCAGTGCCTATGTACCAAGCCCTGGGCTGAGTGCTTACCAGACTTGATCTCATCTACTTGTTCTGTCCTGGTGACAGGTAATCCTGTGTTAAAGAAGAGGATGTTCGATATGACTCTAGGTCACAGGGGCTGGTGACCATGCTGGGCGGGACTTGGATGGTGATGGTGAAGTTGCTGCCCTAACAGCCTTGTTTCCCTTGCCCAGAGCTAAGCGCCAGGCACTAGCCACTTGGTGCAGTACCTTCTGTATCTCATTGTCATTATTACAGGCACATTACAGATCAGGTCCACAAGGCTAAGAGAAGTCCAAGGCCACCTGCTGGGAGCTAACCAAGCAGCCCAACTTCACAGCCAAAGCTTGAATGTTGCAGCTTCCCACCTTCCTATCTCCCTCTCAGGGATCGAACCAGAGCTCTATTGGGCTGGGAAGACCAAATAATCCTAACCTCAGAACACTTGATTATTTAAATGCCATGATACTGTTAATGCCACTGAGCTAGAGCCTGGTTGTTCTGCAGCCTCATCATGTCCCAAGAGATGGGGGCCAAGACGCTGCAGGCAGCGATGTAAGCTAGCTCTGGGCTGCCTCCTTTGCAGAGATTGGTGGTCTTCTGAACCACCTCCAAACATCCAACAAATACATGGCAGTTCAGTAAAAGGGAATTGGAGGAGTTAAGCAACAGGTTTGTGATTTCCAAAGTACCTTGTGCTGCTGTTGCTACATAATATAAACTGGTTTGGGGCCAACTACTGGACTGCTAAGAACCTACTAAGAACCTGCTAAGAACCTACTATGTGTAAGCACTGTGCTAGGCGTTAGGATGGAAGCTGTGAACAAAGTAGATGGAATTGTTCTTCTCAGAGCTGTATGTTGCCAACAATAAAATTTTTTAAAAGCAAATCAGTATGTAATATAAAAAGGTGAGGTTGTGTTCAGTCCCATGGAAAAAAATGAAGCAGCCCTAGGGGATGCTTGTTCTTTGTGATTAGACTTGGGGATTCTGTCATGAGTTATGGGTCTTTTAGAGCTGTTGCTTCTTTCTTGCTTCTCCCTGCTTCCCTTTCCAGCATTCCTTTCAATGATGCTCTAACTTTCTCCAAGCTCTTTACTTTCTATCGGACTCCACCCCTAAGCAGCTCCACCTGACCTGGAGGCTCACCCTGCTGGGCCTTGGAATGCAAGACCTAGTTGTGGGGAGACCTATGTTTACTTAGCAGGTTCAGAGATTACACACTTATTTTTGGGAGCATGGCTGGCTATTGATCTTGGTCAGGGAGCACTGGGAGGTTTCTCCATGAGAAGCTGGTTGTGCTAGGCCATCATGGCTGGGCAGCTTGGTAAGCAGATCAACATCCACACATAAAGAGTAAGGATGCTCTAGGGGGAATGGGGACTCCGTGGATGGACTTCTCCAGGGCCCTCTGGAACATTTTGAGGGTCTTCACCCTTGAACTGGAATCTGTGGTGAATTAGAATCTGTAGGCCTTAGGCAGTCTTGCAAGGCTGTTCCCTGTCAGCCACAGGTAGGCTTCCTTCTAGGTATTCATAAAAGGGATAGAAACATTCATCCCCATTTAGGCTGAACATTGGACATTGCCTCAAGCCAGTGACAACGTGTCCATGCTGGGTAAACATTGGCCTAAGCTTCATTGTGTTTTAGAGACTTGAAACATAAAGGCAGCCCACTGGCATTTTTAGCAAGCTTTGCATAATTGGTTTTTAATTTGTGCCTCTTTGGAATAGCATTGGCTTCTTTCCCCCTGGCTCCCATGCTCTTTTTTTTTTTTTCTGTGTCATACTTGGTTGCCAGAGAGAGCCAATTTGTCTTTTCTTGGAACAGAATCACCTAAACTCATCTTTGAAACCCAATGTTTCCATTTTGACCCGGTCACTTTGTTAGTCCCATTTTTAAAGTAGTTGGCTAGTTGTTGTTATTATTTTGAAACAATTAACTTGGAGGGAGAATTGGGGTCTGCGACTGGCAGTGATGAATGTGTTTGACATTGGCCCCTGTGGTATCTTTTATTTAACATGATAGGTGTGGTCACACCTGTTGGCCATCCTCGAATAGGGCCCTCAGAGAGGTAGTGGTTGGGATGTGCTGGATCTGGGCTGTTCTTAGTGGAAATCAAACACTTTTGAAAATTTTAGGGAGACCCATAGCTATTTGGTAGAGCTTTGAGAGATCTGTGTGTCAAAAAGATGCATGGATGAAGTAGGATTGTATCTCCACCCCCCCCTTTTCTTTTGTACCTGTAATGGAGAGCTTGAACTCAAGGCCTTAAAATTGTGCTTGGCTTTTTCATTCAAGGCTGGTGCTCTACCACTTGAGATACATCTCCACTTCTGCTTTTTGCTGGTTAATTGGAGATAAGAGTCTCACAGATTTGTCTTTCTGGGTTGTTGAACTCAATCTTCAGACCTCAGCTTCCTAAAGAGCTAGGATTATGGTAT